GACTTCAGTTTCAAATCTCACGTCCATTGATCCTAATATTCCTGTATATCTAACCCTTGAAAGCTCACTTACTCTCTGAACTTTCTATGTTATTCATCCTGTCCTGTGGCTCTTAACATTGACACTTCCCTATATCAGTGCAGGAGATGGGTGAGCCGCTTCTTTGTCTGTAAAATGGGATAATAATCATCCACCTCATAGTGATGCTGTGAGGTTTAACATGCAAAGAATTTGGAGCAATGCCTGGTTACTCAAAAGTACATAACAATTTTAAGCTAAAAATGCTTCTGTGGCTGCTATAATTAGACTATTTCGTGCTGTGGTGTACCTGACAGAGCTGGAAGGAAATTGAGGAGGAAAACTGTCTAAACAGCTGTGACTCTCCCCCATGACCTGCATTAAGTGGGCTATTAGCAGGCATGTGGGACAGGCCTCTCTCAGTCCAGTGGTCCATTCTTTAGCACCTAGGGCCATGGAGTCCGGAAGACTTAGACTGAATCTCTCCAATGGCCATTTCTGCAGGGAGAGGTCAGCAGCCAGCTGGTGGTCTGGGCATGTGCCTGCATGTTTGGAAATTGTGGATCCTTCCTGGACTCAAAGCCATCACGAACCCCAGGAAGAGACCCGCATCCTTGGAAGAAAGTCACCCTCCAACTTACCGAGAAATAGACATTGCCATCAGGCAAGACTCCTCCAACAACCAGATCAGCTCCCACGAAGGTGTAGCCATTTGTGACTCCCAAGCCCACCCAGCCAGCTGTTTGGACCTGGAGCTCAAAAGTGATCATCTCAGCCTCAAGGTCAAAGTCCCAGCGCAGGAAAATGACATTGGAAGGATCTAGGAACCTGGAATAGCGCAATCGAGAGGTGGGACCAATGTGGTTGCCTCGGGAGGGGGCTGCCAGAACCATAAGTAGAAGGAGCCTGAAGAGAAGGTCACAGGCCATGGCTCTTGGGATCTGGAGCATCTCTGCTGCAGGTGAACACTCAATAAGTATGGACTTATATGTGCTTCCCCTGCTCTAGGCACCATGCCATAGGGGAGGGACAGACTGGGGTTCTTCTGATCTGATCATCTCCTGGGCTCAGAGTGGTGCCACTTACATAACCCTGGAGGTATGAGGTGTCCAGAGAGGGTGCAGAGCAGATTGCTCTTGCCCTGGACTGGGGACTTATTGTGAAATTCTCAGGAGTAAATCTTTTAGCCTCTTCCACCCAACCCCATGCCAGTGTCCTGCCAATGGGGACCTTACAGGATCAAGGGAGAGTTAGTTCCTCTCCTCTTTTCTTTTCTCCTCTCCTCTCCTCCCTCCCCTTTTCTCTCCCCATCCCTGGATCCTTGGATGTCCTTACTGAGCACTCTGTCCTCTGGCATATGTCCCCCACCCCAGTTTTCATGGGCATTTTCTATATATAGAAACGGGCATGAGCAGAGGTGTGGTGGGAATGCCTTTGAACCTGCCTCCCAGTCCAGCAGGAAGGAGAGAGGTTGTTGGGAGGGGGTTAGGGGAAGGCTATGATTTCTATCTCCTGTGGGAGTCTTTTGCTGCTAATCCCTGGAAGGACATGTGGAGGTGAAGGAGCCATAATCAGCTTTCAGGTGGGCGAGTCTGGGCAGCTTTGAGTTTTTGCACATTCCTGGGGAGGGGCAAGAAGGAGGAGGGGGAGGTGAGGGGAAGCAGAGGGAGAGAAAGGGGATAAAGGTGAACTTGCCTCTGAGAGGCTTTGTGCTTTATCTTTCCTCCCAGGAAAACTACAGGGACTTCCACAGGATGCTTGGTCCAGCATCCCCACTGGTATTGTGCAAATAATAAACGGCCAGAAAAAAATGTTAGAATATTAGAACACAAGAGTAAAAAGTGATATTAGATCCACTAAATTTCCCAAAATTCCAATCCACTTAATTTTTAGATGAGGAAACAGAAACACCAAGGTTAACATGAATAATGTATGTGCCTGGTCACTGTCCAGGCAGAGCTACCAGGACACAGGGCCCTGCCTCCAGGCCAGTGCTCTCTTCAGCTGTCCCTTCAGTCACAGACACCCACAGGGCACCACCCCCCACCGTACATTTCCACCATGGCTCGTCCTGGATGGAGTTGGTGTCACCACTGACTGCTTCTTTGGGAGTGGACCAAATTCTCACCCTAACTCCAAAGTTCTTTCTTCCCAGGGTTGGACACAGGTGATCTGGAGCAGGAAACCACCTCATTGACCTCTTAGGCTCCAGTGTCCTTCCCCCATTAGGCTCTTCCCCACAGGAATGCAGTTCAAATGAAGATGGACAGGAGCTGGAACACCTGTTTATGCCTTCATTCAGAGCATGCATATTCTTCTTCTCCTCCCTCCTAGGAGGGCAACCATAACCCCCAACTGGGAGCATGGGAGAAGGTAGGCAGCTAGGCAGCCATCTAGAAGAAAGAGGCTTACCTTGGCCTAGGTTGGGAGCCAGGCCAAAATCAGAGGAGGAGCTTGGGGAGGCAATGACCTTGAGGAGCAGGAATTCAGGGAGGAGATAACAGGAGTATCTGAGACACCACTGATCCCAATCACATTTGGGGATTAAGGCAATGGGAGGGGATGGCAGGGAGACAGGACAGCCAGCTCAGTAAACTGAGATGTGCCCAGAATCCCTTATCCTGCAATCTGTCCAGCCCGGCCTCAGCGCTGGCCTCAGGAGGAGGTAGAGTCATGGGAAAGAGCTGAAGTCAGCCATTGCAAGGCAGGAAATCTGTGTCTGGGCACTTTCTGGCTTTCCATGGGGCCTTTCTTTCCCTTTCCTCCTTTGTTCCCCAGTTACACTTTCCTCCCAGCCCCCTTTCCTTTTACCGTCTAATCCCCAGAGAGACTTTCTCCACAGAGAGCTAAGAATTAAATGTACGTGTCTTGCTGGGGTGAGGACACCTCTCTTGTGCATTTTACTGGTATTCAGGATATGTGATTTGGGTACTGCTTCCTGGAGCTTCATCTCTCCCCATCTCTGGGGTAACGAGGTGGGAATCGGTAATGGAACAAAAAGCAAAAGTGAATCAGCACATGAGTATTTAGAAAGTAGTGCAATTGACATTTTGTGCACAATTAGATTTGAAATAGGGTGATGCAAAAAAAAAAATCAATGGAGTCACTTTATACACAAAATTGTACTAGTATAATGAAAATCTATTTTTCTTAAGTCAAGAGAAACACAATTTCAAAGTTAGTGAGACAAGTGAATTATAAATTGTATTATGCTGCCACCAAATGGATCCTTTGTCAAAATCATGGGAACCCTATTGTATGTATTACAACTTCTGAAGAGTAAAAAAAAAAAAAAAAAAAAAAAAAAATTAGTGACTCTGGGAGGTGCAAACCCCCAGGTGCCAGCTACTGCTGGGCCCTGACATGGGGGACTTTCCAGGGACATGGGTCTGCAGACTTGCCCTGCTCTAGTTCCCTCCATCATTTATCGACACCCACTTAGAACATTAACTAGAATATTGTGCAGTTTCAAGTCTTGAAATAGTGAGGTTCGACTGCTAAACCCCCCTGCTTCTCCATACTGTTGTCTGTAAAATGCTGAGGTTGGAGAGATGGTAGATATGGGGCCTTATTTTAAATCTAATTTGCCAGATCATTGGTTTCTAAACTTTCTAAAAAATGAGGCCTCTTAATGCTAAAAAGTTAGGAGAACTTGTGATTTTAATCTCTGTTGATTAAGTGATAGATGATTAGAGAAAGATAAAAGCTACTATTAATTCTATCATATTTTAACTGAATTTGAAATTTGCCATTGCATAAAAGTCCACTGTACAAAGTGCTTACTCTGTGCCAAGATTTACTCTGAATTTTCCATATACTAATCCATTTATCCCTATGAAATAACTTTCATTATTATTTCCATTTTACAGATGGAGAAACCGAGGCCCCAAATCACACTGTTAGGTAATGGCAGCACTATGAATCATTGGGAAAACATAATTAAAGACAAAAATCTCCTCCCAATTCAGAAAATCTTGTCACAAAGGCAGAAGAAAGAGAAAACACTTTTATTATTGAATAAGCATTAGATCAGAAGGTGACACATGCTAGGCATTTCTTTCAGAGTTCGCCAAGACAAAGAAATATTAGCCTTTTATATAGGCCAGCACAAACCATTACATACATGTTCCCAAGACAAGCAATGACTGGCCCTCAAATGAGAGGACTTGACAGGACCCTTTGCTAATCTGAGTTCATCCTAGAGTCCCTCGGTAACCAGGATGTCCCTCTGTGTTTGCTAATTGCTTTTATCCAAAGAAAAAATAAACTTGGCATATCTTTACTACAGTTATTTGCAGCTTCGAGTGAGACGTCTGCTCTAAATTGAGTTTAGGCTCATTCTCCTTGATGGTTATATTTTAAAGAGATGCTTGCAGGTCTTTGAGAAAGGCATCTTTGGGTCTTGACCCTGGCAAGAATTGCTTAGCTTTTAAAAATATTTACATATATTTCAAAGAGACAGAGAAAGAACTTACAAGTTTTCTAAAGTAAATGCTCTCAGAAAATGGAGGAGAGGGAAGTCTCTTTCGTTACTTTTAACCAGGAGAATTAAGCTCTGATGTTGAGTTTGTATTCCCTCTTACAGAGGGAAACACAGGTAACTGGAGATGAGGTTCTGTTGTCTAAGGCCCAGTGTGGCCTTGCAGCAGCCTCTGCCCATATATAGGGGAGGAGGGAAGTCCTTGTTTAATCTCCAAGATCCTTTGGTTGCACAGAGGTATTTTAATTCCTTGAAAGATTTGAGGCACCGTTTTAGGACACTCTGGGACACAGGAGGGGGTTCAGGGCCAGTGAGTGAAGACCCCCAGTGACCGTGGGGACGTGTGCATGCATGTGTGGGAGTGCGGGTTGGCGCCAGATGTAGGAAACGCTCTCCAGTTTGAGGTTTGAGCTTCAGTGAGAAGATAAGAAAGACATTGTGTTTCCTGGAAAAGCCACTCCCTTTTGAGTTTCAGGCCCAGAGAGTGTAAGCTACTCTTTGCCACCTTACAGGCCAGGGTCCTGTGCTCCTGCCTGGCTGGCCCTGTCCCACCGCCCCCTGACCTGCTGCCCTGTCAGAGAGGACCCCAGGGGCCAGGGAATGGCATCACTTTCCCTTCTGTGGGGCTGGGTGCTCATGGCTGCCCTGAGCACAGGTCAGATACCAGGAGGAGAGAGCCACTCAGTGGGTTGATGGAGGGAAAGAGAGCTGGGTCACTGGGGCACCTGGAGGCACAGAAAGTTTTGCTCCTCCATCCCAGCCTTGCCTAGATACCCCCAGGCATAGCCTCTTACCCTGAGAAAGTATCCTTTCTGTCCCCAGGTGTCTCCTATCAATACCGCTCATGGGACCTCCTCTTCAGGATCTGCCTGTCCTAGTTATTTCTTGGGTGGCCTTCACCCCCAGGAGCTCCAGCCTGTCCTGTCTGTGTATTTCAGGTGCCAATGCAAGCTTGGTGGAGCAAAGGCCCAGGTGGGCCCTGGTACGTCCGGGACAGGCTGAAACCCTGAGCTGCTTCCTGAGGGATGCCCAGTACCCCTGGATGAGCTGGTACCAACAGGATCTCCAGGGGCAACTCCAGGTGCTGGCCAGTCTGCGGTTTTCTGGGGACAAGGATGACGTATCCCTTCCTGGAGCGGATTACCAGGTCACACGGGTCAATGACAAGGAGCTGAGGCTGCAGGTGGCCAATGTGACCCAGGGCAGAACTCTGTACTGCACCTGCAGCAAAGACACAGTGAGAAACCCTCGTTGTACAGATGAATAAAAACAACCCTCAGTTCCCACCCACGGCCCCAAGCTCCCCCTCCTCTGCCCGAGAGCACCTCAAACCTGCTTTTCCCCGCCCCAGATCCTCCCTTCTGGCCTCTTTACTGCAGGTGAACGCTGGCTGCGTAGCACAGCGATGGACCACAGGTCTGGACCACATGCAGACCGTGGCTTTGCCGCCTGTAAGCTGCGGGGAAGACTGCATCTCCCTGAAAGGCAGTTTCTGTGTCTGTAAAGTACAGAGAGCAACTCTACTCAGTTCAGAGGGCCCCTGCGGGGACGAAGCGTAAGACACAGGTAGACAGGAAGCTCTAATTAGCATTAGCTCCAGCCCACAGAAAAACACATTGCATTTTATTACCAGTCTCAAGGCTCACAAGGGTGCTCAACAAAGACCTGGAGGATTTTGGGAGCTCAGAAAAGGGGAGGATGAATGTATCCATCTGTGGGCCTGCCACTCACACCCCTGGAATAAGTAAACATCCACTTTCCAATTAGTTCCCCATTCTCAGTGCACACCACCACCTCAGCTCCTCACACCCCAATCTCAGCTTGATCATTTTTAAAAGTGAGATCCTAGAGAGGACCGCGATCTGGAATCTACCGTGGAGGGCTTACCCAATACTCACCTTTTAAAAAGCCATGGCTGAGAGCCCGGTCTGCACCTGGAGTCAGAGCAGGGCAGGGCTAGGAGGCCAGGCCCCAGCAAACATCCCCGAACCACCGCTGGGAGGTGCATTATGGGAGAGGCCAGGTCCTGAGGCCTCTGCAAAGACAGGAGGCAGGCTGGGCTGTAGTAGCTGAGCCACTCTGCTTCTAGTTCGGAGCTGCTGCACCCCGAGTGAACAGGTAGCAGGTGGGGTGCAGGTGGGAGTGAGTGAAGAGAAGGCATGTCAAAGGTACCTCAGTCTCTAAAGGAGTGAGTGGTTGTGGTGCTCTGGGGCTGCCAGGCACCCTTTCCTCAGCACTTGTATAGAGAGAGGAGTTTTTTCCATCAGGGGGCGCCATCGGCCCACAGTTCTCCGAGCTCTGCATAGACAGGGGTCCTGTGATCAGTCACAGGTGTTGGTCCTCTCTCAGCCTCCTCTCAGGTGTGTGGTGAAAACCTGCTGGGCTCTAGAGGAAGGCAGTAACGGGAGGAGGTCTAGAGCCGAGCGCAGGGCCCGGTCCAGAGTCATAGAGACCTTGTGATACCTGTGTCCTCTCAGTCCTCCAGGAAGGGTACCCCTGTTTGAGAACAGGGTCACTGGGAGGTCCTTGGCCACCAAGACGCTATTAAATACAGAGCAGATGGCAGGCCCTGGGCAACCAGCTTTTAAAGGTAAGTTAAGGCCCTCTACTGGTAGCTCTTGAAACAACTGCATCCGAGCGCCTTTGGCTGGAGTGATGGAAGCCCGCATTGATCTGATGGCTTCCCCTTTACCTCAGTCCCTGAGACCTACACGGAGATTTCCCAGATGCAGTTCCGCTCACTTGTACCATAAACTGAGGTTAATACCATTGGCTAGGGCTAGGCCCTTGGTTCCATGGTACTTAAACTAGCCCTCCTAGACTGATGGATGCTAGGGGTTCAAACAATACTTTCTGTTGTTTTACTAACATACCTTTTAATGATTAAAATTTAATCCATTGTTTATCATTTGTTTTTGCTTTGTGATCCAATCAGAGAATGTTTTGTTTTTAAATTTTTTATATATTTTTTTCAATTGGAATTGACATTTAATATTATATTTAACAAACAATACTTGCTTTGTGATTGAGTGGATTATGTTATTCCCTCAGTGAACTGAAAAGACTTCACCTCGTTTACACATGGTTCTGTTTAATATATTGCTACTAACTGCGTGTGTACTTTTGTGATATTAAAACCTCTCAGAGGGATGCCCTGAAGAAAATAAGAGAACAGAAATCTTCTCAGGAGACAGAAATTTAATCAACATATCTAGTTGTTCTCTTTCTTGAGGTCAAATGTATATGCATTCCTTGGGAGTGGCAGGTGCTCGGAAGGCACATGGTGGAGGAAATGCTTGGGAAAGGATTATGTAGTATGGATTTCCAGGGTCAGCTTGAGCAGGAGGATAATTGTATCCAATGGGAAATCTCCCCAGAATGCTCTCACTTGCAAAGACTTTCATAATCAGATTGACAAGCTGGTCTGCTCTGAAATTCTGTCTCATTCTTCCAAGTGTGTTTCTTAATTGCTTTATAAGCAAAGGGAATAATGGGACTGCAAGGGACATATGCAGGGACTTCTTACCAGGCTCACCTGGTTACCACCACTGCTGAAGACCCCACTGGCCAGTGTCAGCGACCAACCTCAGCCCTGATCTATTACTGTACTCCAGGTATCCCACCAGCCAGGTGGTTGTAGGTGGGCCCCTTGCATTATGCTCTTTGTTCACACTGAAAATGACATATTCTAGATTTGGATTTTCTTTCCCTTGTCATCATCACTCCCAGCCCCACCATTCTTGAATAGTATATGTATCCCACAAAAAAAGGAATATATTTTTCAACTGAGGAAGTCACCTTACAATGATAATGATCATACAGCAAGTTGATGCCCATGGAATTTAGTGCCCTTAACATATGCTTCATCATCTAGAATAATCTGAACTTATAAGACATCAGTATGACCTATTGAAATCTTAGCACTATTTCAAGCTGGGAGAAATCTCCATTTGCCTGCAAAAACCATCTATTTCTACGAAAGCTAAAATTTCAGTTAATAACTTATACAAGGGTGAAGCTCTCACAATTGCACTTAATAATCCATATACAAAATGCTGCTTTTCAACAAGCTAGGCTTCACTGCTACAGAGGTTTTAGATAGTTAGAGAGGACAAGATTTACTGATGTAACTTCTTATGTCATAAGCCCCAATCAGCCTTTGTATTAACCTCTCATGGCTCAAGTCTATATGCAGAATCCTGCAGAATGAAGAATCAGAATCTATGCCTGGTGTTGAGAGGTGGATGGACAAGGAGAAACAAAGTGCAGTACCTCCCAGAGCCCCCCTCCTTAAACCCTTTCCTCTGATCTGTACTTCTATTTAGCTCACTTCTTGTCAGACTTCCTTTTCTGGCATATGTAAGTTGCACATGATTAATTCAGTGCAAGTAGTAGGCATTTTGTCACCCCAAATGGCTACAGTGGCTTTTTTTCTACAATAGGTCAATTGTTAGAGAGAACACCATCCCCTTTGCATAAACTTTAACTGTCTAAGGGGAACTGAGTTTGCCATCTTCATTGAAAGGGGAAGTAGAAGGGAGGAAAAATGGCGGTGGTATAAACGGACGTGTCCTGTGCCTTGTCCTGGAGCAGATAAGGGTGAGCAGCTGAAACGGGTAACATGCAGCCCGAATAGGCAGAGGATTTTCAGCTGAGAGACTGTCTGCAGCTAGGAAAGACCGAGAACCCCCAGGAAAAAAAGGACGGTTGGAGACTGCGGCTGAAGCCTCTCGTGGTGCGCCAGCTAAGCAGTGGAGACTGCGCCATCTTGGGTGGTTGTTGCCGGCATCCAGAGACCAGCTACTACCCTGGGAACAAGGGATCTCAAGCAGCGTCACTGCCTGAACTCAGGCGAGCACTGCTTCTTCTCACGGAAAGGTTGGACATCCCCTAAAGGTGCGGTTTGAAGTTCGGGTTGGAGGGAGGACCGAGCTCGCGCGCGCAGGGCGGAATCTGCGCCCCACAGAGTCTGCAGCCGTTGGGACCAGCGTGACCCCCGAGTGGGGAAGGGGCCCCACAGGGCTGCTGGCAGAAGGGAACGCGAAAAATGAGCCCATAGCTGGACTGGATGTAAGGGAGCAGCCTTGGACTTTGCCAATCTGCTGGCTGCTTGGTGCCAGGGGCGAGTGAGCGCGCGGAGACTGTGCGCAGACCTGGAAGGTGGAGGCTTGCGAATTCGCACAACTATCAGGCTCTTGTTACAGTTCCCCTTAGATCCGTGCATTTGATTATTAAACCCAGTGCATGGGATTCCCCAGTTGGGGTCATTCACAGAGCCTGTAGGGGAAAGTTCTTTTTGGGGAGCCTGGGAAACAGCGGGCAGTGGCAAGGAACCAGCTCTGGGCAGTGGTCTTTCCTGAATCAGTTCCCAATACCATAGAGGAAAAAAAAACACACAAAAAAAACCCCTACTGATAGAGAGGATTTATATCCTCGGAGGTCAATCCAGACACACTGCCACCCAGAGGCAGAGCCACGAACTGTCTCTTCTGCGATCACAAATAAAGGCAGTCTGGTAAACAAATACAAGCTGCCTTAAAATCAGGTCTGTGGTTTACTGCACGGAGGGACAGTGTATCGCAGGGAAGTTCAACACTCCCCTGAATGCCTGGCAGGACTGAGGCGTGCCAAAAAGAAGAGTGGAAGATCTGAAGCACCTTCACTTCCGAATATTTTTATATATATATATATATATATATATATATATATATATATATATATATATATTTTTTTTTTTTTCTAAATTCTTTTTTCACCATTTCATTAAGAACCTATTTTATTTTTTATTTATTTATTTATTTTTTCATCACTTGATTTTACCTTTTTAATTACTACATTTTTTTAACCAGTATTATTGCTATCCTTTTACCATTTTTTCAAGTGTCATTTTATTTTTTATTATTTTTTTAATTTTTCTTTATTTTATTTTGGGATTAGTGTTATACACACTATTTTCATCGTTCCTTTAGCATCATTTCTCTCTAGCTCACATTTACCCTTAAGCCAAAACTCTCTTCCTCACTTTTCCCCTTTTGTTGTCCTGTTTCTCTTACCCTATTCCTGCTTTGGATTTTACCTATTCCTTCTTTCTAACCACTGTCTAAATTTCACCCTACTTATATTTCTAATTTCCAATCCCTCGCTCTCCCCATACAAATAGCCTCTTCCCCACCTCTATTTCATTCTCTTACTTTTTTTTTTTTTTTTTGTATTTTTGTTTTTTTTCTTCTCTCCCTTTTCCCAATCTCATTTCGGCACTCCTTTTTGTTTTTTATTTTTCTCTTTAATCTTTTTCTCTTTTTTCTTCTATATCCCCTAATTCTCTTCGCTCGGGGGGGTCACCTTTATTTGGGGTTATTAATATCGTGAATGCATTTAGTTTGTTGCCTTGTACGTTGTGCCTTGTTGTGTTGTATTTTGTGCCTTTGAATCAGCGCAACAGAGAGAGAACTACATAACCAAACACCTTGAGAAGAGAAATCATGGTGAAACAAAGAACCAACCCAAATATGAGAGAAAAACAGGCATCATCAGAAAAGGAAGTAAACGAAATGGAGGC